AGTCAACTATTCAATGTGGACCATCCAACCAAGTAGTCGTTACTGCCGATGTAGGCGTATCCAGATCAAAGTGGGCGTTTTTTTTGCCAAGGTAGGCGTGTTCACATCACGTCCGAAGGTCACCAATGTGGGGAAAGTAGGTACAGACCATGTCAACCGTCATCTATGTAAAGGTACCCCGACATAGAGTCGACTTTACTTTACTTTATTAATCCAAAATTGGGTGCCTGGGCCGCGCAGCTGCCCCTAACCCATCCATCATGAAGTATTTACAATTTGAATTAAAAGCATTTTGAATTATGCAGCATTAAGGTAGCAGAACAGAAGATCAAGCAAATTTGCTTGATAAATTAAACATGAATTGATATGACATAGAGTCGAGTTAACATGTCTTATATACTAGTGAATTGTAGTTGTAATTTTGTAGTGGTAGATACGCTACAGTAGCTTCAATCTAGAAAAATTGTTTTAATAGTTTTTTCTGGAACGCTCTTGAAAATTAGAACCCTTTAATGTTAACTTTAGTTTTTGCGTATTTCACTACATCTTAATTTTTTTTTAAGAGAATTGAAAAAGTTTTGCATACAATTCCAATCAGATCAATCAATTCCTATTCGTTTTTCTAAAGATAATTTCATGCAAAATGAAACTTTTAGTAAACATTTATTAATACTTTATTTAATGGAAGTCGAGAAACTTAAGAAATGTAAGGTGTACAATTTTTTCATCATTTTCAATTTTAAATGTCAAAATACAAAATTTGAGCAAAATCGGTCAAATAAGTCCTGAGAAATAAAAATAAAAAACTCTTATTTTTCGAAATTTGGTCCCTTAATTTCTTAATTTTTAATGTCCATTTTTTGTGACTTAAAATTCGTAATGATGAAAGCAAATATAAATCGTAGGAGGAAAGAATGTATCGCGTTGATATGTGGTAAACAATAATCAATTAACTGTGTGAAAGGTTATTCGTTGCAGGCGTGTATCAATATGTAAAAAGCTTTTGTGGAGATCTTGGTAGATAGTGTGCTTTCAGCTCAGAGAAACGAAAACATAGGCAGACAAACAGCAGCCATGTGGGGAAATTTTTTTTAAAAATTTAAGTTAGTTAATGTTCGCTTCTCGGAGGCAAATTTAAAATTTTTAAACTGAAAAATAATTACAAATTTAAGCTATATTGTTTGAATCTTGTATTTTAAGTCGATGGACTTACTCTTTTTCTCAAAGGGAGAAATTAGCATTTTGCCGGACATAGATGTTCACTTAAAAAACATCTTTGGAAAGAAAAAGGAATCTCAAGAAGTCTCTTTGTATTAATTTACAATATATATTAACATCGAGTCCCCTGTTTAAAATGGTCTTTTATTTGTCCGTAAAATTATATTATGCAACAAATAAAAAAAATTCGAATTTTTCAATTTTATGGGCATAACCATTTCGAAGTTCGTTCAAAACGGGGCATGATATCCTTAGATGGAATACGTGGATGCAAAAAATTTACTTAACTTTACTTGCGAAACATTTAAATGATTCAAAAGCCAATCGATGCATATAAAAATAACATTCTATATCAAAATGTTCTTTAAATGTTTTGTTAAATGTGTATGAAATTTAAAATTTTTATTAACGAATAATTTCTGCGTTATGAGAGTAAGAGATTCTAGAAAAAAAGTTACGGAAAAAAAGGTACCTCGAAAAAAAGGTCCCTGAAAAAGGTGCGGAAAAAAGGGTCCCCGGAAAAAAAGGTCCCTGTGTAGGGAAAATTTTGTAGGGGAAAATATTTGAAATGAGAAGATCAGATTGAAGCGCTTTTTGATTTGATTGAAGTGCTCATAAGAAAAGAAATACCGCGACTCTAATTAAGAAGGACCAATACTTTCACCTCCAATCACGAATAAACATCCAACACATAAATCCTCTCAACTTCCCCGATTGGCTACTTTAAGCCTCACATTAGCAATTTCTTCACAAAACATAATTTAAAACAGAAAATAACACATTTTTCACTTAAAAAAATTACAAAAAAGTAAAACATTATTGAAAAATTTAATTAGTATCTTCCCGCTTTAAAAAATAATCAAGGAAGAATAAATAAATGAAATAAAATTTTTTAAAAAAAAAGCGCAATACAACTAGCCCAGTGGTTCCCAACCTGGGGGCGATCGCCCCAAGGGGGGCGATAATCCTTATGGGAGCGATCAGGGGGCGACGAGTACTCAAAAGATAAAAATTGCTAATAATATTAATAATAAAAGCTATTTGAGATTGAAATTGAAAATATATATGAAACCTATGGTTCTGGTGTAGACAAAAAGTTATGATAGTTAAAGATTAAAAAAAATTCAAGTGCAGGATCGTTTTCGTCATACGTTTTGGTATTGCAGGCGGAAATCTGATAAGTCACTCCGTTCCTCTGAGCAATAATACTGTTTCCAGGCGTATTGATGAGATGGCCGCCGACGTTGAATCAAAACTCATCAACTTTCTGAAAGAAGGTAAATTTGCGTTGCAGATTGATGAATCAACTGTGATAGATAACAAAACTGTTTTAGCTTACGTGAGATTCATAAATGAGATAAAGGAGATTAACGAGGAAATGTTGTTTACAAGAACTTTGAACACAGATACAAAAGGATCGTCGATTTTTGAATTGGTCAAAGATTATTTTGAGGTAAAAGAATTTCCCCTCACAAATGTAAGTGCTTGTGCTACAGATGGTGCTCCAACCATGTCTGGTTGTCATACTGGATTTCTGGGTCACCTTAAAACAGAAGTACCGGAAGTTATCTCACTTTTCATTCATCGTGAACTTTTGGCTGCGAAAAATTGGTTATTTCTGGCATCAATAAAATAAAAGCTAATTCTACCAATAACCGTTTGTTCCGAGAACTTAGCTATGAAAATGATGAAGATTTCGAATTCCTGCTCCTACATACAGCTGTGAGATGGCTTTCAAAAGGAAACTGAGCCGTTTCTTCGAATTGCTGGATTCGGTTACTGAGTTTCTCGACACCACTGATCCTGTTTTAAGTGAGAGTTTGAAAACTGCGTACCTCACTCATAGTCTTGAAAAAATAAAGGAAATCAACGTAAAACTTCAAGGAAATAAAATGAACATTATCAAGGCTAAGGGAATCATATCTTCATTCATCGCCAAGTTTGATATCTACAAGTCAAACATTGGTCGCAAAGAGCTAATGCAACTTCCAACTCTTAAAAAGTGTTCAATGGCAGATATCGAGATTCTCGAAAATAAAATCTTAATTTTTACTGATCACCTTGATCAGTTATGAAATCAAGTTTTAAAGATTTGATAAAATTAGAAATTCCAGATTGGATTTTCGATCCTTTCTCTTTTGAAGTTGTGGATAAGCTCACTTCCTCTTTGTAGACTGAGATTTTAGATTTGAAGTATGACTGTGAAGCTAAAGTCGTCTTTAAAAAATACGGTTACGAGTTAGCTTGGGTAAAGCTTATGGGCACTTATCCACAATTGTGGAAACAAACTGAGCCGCTTCTCATCTCGTTCCCGCCAAACTATTTAGCAGAGACAGGATTTAGTTCTGTCTTCCAGCTGTTTACAATGCAAAGAGAAAGGTTGGACATTTGCTTCAAAGGAGACCCGCGTTTAAATCTGAGGAGCATAAAACCTGACATTCAAGCTTTAACTTGAAATACACCAAGCACATGGCAGTTATTGAAGTGGTAAAAATGTACTTTCTCAATCTTCATTTTTTTTTCTGAAATTTTAGTTGTTAACGTTTTAACTTTTTCTTGATTACATTAAAATATGAATTTAAAAAAAATGTACTTTTGTTTTTATTATTCCGTTTTAAATATCATTTCTTTTTGAAAAAAAAAGATGCACAATTTTTTTTAAGATTAATAATGACAGGATAAATGTGCCTCCTTATTTGCATTACAATTTAAATTAAAATCAAATAACATTGCATATTTTCAGTGTTTGGCTGCTCACAAGCAACCAAACTAAGAATGGGTTTTTGAGCAAAATGAGAAAGGGGCGATGTGTGTCAGCCAACCCCAAGAGGGGGGCGATGGTCCACAAAAGGTTGGGAAACACTGAACTAGCCGATAAGTCCCCCCCCCTAACCCTTCTCCTAACCTCAATGATCTAATCTGAATTATTGCAGATAAAAAGAATATTCATTGAAACAGCGAGAAGCATTCATGCTGCCCAGAAAGCGAGAGGGAAAATATACCTACAGATTTTCCCTATGAAGGTACCTTTTCTACCGGGACCTTTTTTTCCGTACCTTTTTTTCCGTCTTCCGAGTAAGAAGCGTAGAAATTTTTTGAAATTGCGGTTACTGTTGCAACTATTTTTCTTCATTACAGAAATAATTTTTACGCTTATAATCAAGGCCGGATTTATCTATAAGCTAAATAAACTGTAGCATGGGGCCCCGAGATGGAAGGGTCCCCAAATTTTTTTTTTCTTTTTAAAAAAAGTTTTATTTGGAGGTGGGACCATGTGAAGCCGAAATTACATTTTTTTTTTTTTTTTTTTTTTTTTTTTTTTTTTTTTTTTACATTTCGGACGCTTTTCAAAATCTAATCGAAGTGTTTCAAAATCTAATCGAAGCAATAAAACGCTCTTTTGACTGATGTTCTGTGGCATGATGTTAAATAGTCCCGCTTTTGCAACAACCACCCACAGAGTTGTCAAATAGCCGCCTCATTACACTGGGGGGAAATGTTTTTAGCTTCTTTAAATTGCCTTGGGCAGTTTTGCCCTTACTACGGAAATATCGGATATCCATAGAAACACCCTTTTTTCTGATTTCTGGTATTAAATTGCTTGGAACAGAAAATTTCTAGGGCTGTAAATAGGGGAAGGGTCTTATAGTATTTCTTTGGGTCACTTAAAGTGGTCCTCGTTCAATTCTAATTTTTCTTTTTTACAAAATTTAGATTATTTTTTCTAATTTATTATGAAACCTTTTTATCCCTTTAATTATCCAAAATGTTTCAACCAGCCTAATTGTTTAATCTACTTAATTATTGTAATAGATTTTTTATTATTTTTCAAACTAATCGTACATGAATCCGTGAAGGCCGAATTTCTATATCAAAATTTTCGTAGGATATTAATAAGACATAATTTTTTCACCTTTAGAGGTAAGTAAATGCTTTTATTAAATCAACTTTGTCTGTGGTTAAAAATAACATGGAAGGTTTGCACAGTTTTTTATTTATACATTTTTTAACATAAAAAATTTTAAAGTTGAAATTATTAATTATCTAATAGCTTAAAATATTTGTCCTCTGTTTACATCGATATTTTTGTTACTTTAATTAGAAATTTTGTCAAATTAAAAAATATGTTTTATAAATAATTTTTTTACAGCTAAAGAACTGGGTCAAACCTTACTAAATGGAAATTTGTCCCACTTTGTTTTGATGAGTATTTAAAGAACCAACAAAGCAATAAGTAAGTGCCTAAAAAATTCGATAATTTCGCTTAAAGAAACATCAAATCATTGGATTTAGATTTGTTTCCTCAGTAAACAAGAATAGTTGTTTGCTGAGGAAAAGCAGGAAATCTGAAGCAACATTGTTAAAATGAATATTAAGGTTGATCCAGTAATTTGAACTATATGGATAGAAATATATGGTATTTATTTACTTAGATTTTTCTTTTAATATTTCGTGATTTTTTTGTTTATTTATTTAAATGGTTGGCCACTATTCAAATCCATCTTTGACAGGCCTACCTACCAAAATTTTTGATTTGGTCAATTCTGGATGAAATTGAGATAGTAGATGTGATTTTGTTTTAATTTTACTTATAGACTGTGATTTTGCTTGATAGAGAATTGAAATCAAGTGATCATCAGCTAAACAAATGTTCAAATTTGAAAAAAAAATTGTTCAAGCCTCCTGTAAGACCCTATTTTCCATATTTCCCCTAAATATGAAATATATTTAATTTGTATTATTACATTTTGTGCACAAAATTCATTTATTTAGTTAGCTTATGATTTAAAACTTCGTTGTCATTAGAAAGGAACATATTATCTTTTAAACAGTTTGAGTATTAAATAAATTATTTAAAAATAAACAATTTCTTTTTTAAATTAAAAGGTGAAAAAGTTTTTTTATTTGTTTTGATTGCCCCATCATGCAATCATGAGACTATATAATATCTGTTCCTAAGGATCAGAATTCCTTTTTATTTTACTTTAAAATTGTGCAAATGATATATTTAATGCTTTCATTTGATATGCTGCAGCATTAAATTGAACTTTGAAATATTTAAAAAATGACTAAAATTGTCAATTCAAAGAACAATTAACTAATATTTTTGAATATGAATTTAAATAACTTATTTTGTTTTGCTATCTCATTTAATATTATCACATTATTTAGAGCAGATTGTTGCGTACGGAGGTGAGGATGCTGTAAGTAAAAGAGGCATACAAAAAAAAGCCAATTTAATCTCAGTTAATGCCCTCAATATTATATTTTTAAACTTCTTGCAAAAGTGTAGTAAAAAAGGTATACAAATTAACTGTCGCAAACAAATTAATATTAAGTAAGAACAAAACACAAATGATATCGAAATATATTGAATCACTAAAGAGAAGAGCTGATACTTCAAACCAGTTTCACATTTATTCTCTCTGATATTTAGTAGACTCTTTAATAAATTCTTTAAAATATAAGCCCAAAATTTACAAAAATAATGATATTTCTTATTCTTGCTCAAAAATTTAACAAATTTACTTAAAACAATCGCAAAGAATGCAGAAATATTCTTAACCTAAACATAAATTAAATAGTATCAGGTTAAGAAATATTATTATTATTTGCAAACAGTATTAATATCAATATTAAGCCCTCTCCTGCTCTAGGGTGTAAGGTCTAGAACAGTGGTTCCCAACCTGGGGGCGACAGAGCTTCTCAAGGGGGCTATAATCCTTAGGGGGGCGATCAGGGGGCGACGAGTACTCAAAAGATAAAAATTACTAATAATATTTTATAATAAAAGCTATTTGAGATTGAAATTGAAAATATCTATGAAACCTATGGTTCTGGTGTAGACAAAGAATTATGATAGTTAAAAATTAAAAAAAATTCAAGTGCTGGATCGCTTTCGTCATACGTTTTGGTATCGCTGGCGGAAATCTGATAAGTCACTCTGTTCCTCTGAGCAATAATACTGTTTCCAGGCGTATTGATGAGATGGCCGCCGACGTTGAATCAAAACTCATCAAATTTCTGAAAGAAGGTAAATTTGCGTTGCAGATTGATGAATCAACTGTGATAGATAACAAAGCTGTTTTAGCTTACGTGAGATTCATAAATGAGAGTAAGGAGATTAACGAGGAAATGTTGTTTACAAGAACTTTGTACACAGATACAAAGGGATCGTCGATTTTTAAATTGATCAAAGATTATTTTGAGGTAAAAGAATTTCCCCTCACAAATGTAAGTGCTTGTGCAACAGATGGTGCTCCAACCATGTCTGGTTGTCATACTGGATTTCTGGGTCACCTTAAAACAGAAGTACCGGAAGTTATCTCACTTTTCATTCATCGTGAACTTTTGGCTGCGAAAAATTGGTTATTTCTGGCATCAATAAAATAAAAGCTAATTCTACCAATAACCGTTTGTTCCGAGAACTTAGCTATGAAAATGATGAAGATTTCGAATTCCTGCTCCTACNCAACTTTTGGCTGCGAAAAATTGGTTATTTCTGGCATCAATAAAATAAAAGCTAATTCTCCTAATAACCGTTTGTTCCGAGAACTTTGCCATGAAAATGATGAAGATTTCGAATTTCTGCACCTACATACAGCTGTGAGATGGCTTTCAAAAGGAAACTGAGCCGTTTCTTCGAATTGCTGGATTCGGTTACTGAGTTTCTCGACACCACTGATCCTGTTTTAAGTGAGAGTTTGGAAGCAAAACAAGTTGGAAATAGCGTACCTCACTCATAGTCTTGAAAAAATGAAGGAAATCAACGTAAAACTTCAAGGAAATAAAATGAACATTATCAAGGCTAAGGGCATATCTTCATTCACCGCCAAGTTTGATATCTACAAGTCAAACATTGGTCGCAAAGAGCTAATGCAACTTCCAACTCTTAAAAAGTGTTAAATGGCAGATTCTCGAAAATAAAAGATTCTCGGAAATAAAATTTTAATTTTTATTGATCACCTTGATCAGTTATGGAATCAAGATTTAAAGATTTGATGAAATTATAAATTCCGGATTGGATTTTCGATCCTTTCTCTTTTGAAGATGTGGATAAGCTCACTTCCTCTTTGTAGACTGAGATTTTTGATTTGAAGTATGAGTCTGAGGCTAAAGTCGTCTTTAAAAAATACGGTTACGAGTTAGCTTGGGTAAAGCTTATGGACACTTATCCACAATTGTGGAAACAAACTGAGCCGCTTCTCATCTCGTTCCCGTCAGCATATTTAGTGGAGAGAGGATTTAGTTCTGTCTTCCAGCTGCTCACAAAGCAAAGAGATATGTTGGACATTTACTTCAAAGGAGATCCGCGTTTAAATCTGAGGAGCATAAAACCTGACATTCAAGCTTTAACTTGAAATACACCAAGCACAGGGCAGTCATTGAAGTGGTAAAAATGTACTTTCTCAATAATTTTTTCTTCTTCAAATTTTAGTTGTATTACAAAACAAAATTTGTAGAACATTATAAAATTTAGTTTAATTTTTTCTTGATTACATTAATATATGAATTCAAAAAAATGTACTTTTGTTTGATTATTCCGTTTTAAATATCATTTCTTTTTGAAAAAAAAAAAGATTCAAAATTTTTTTTTTTAATTAATAAAAATGACAGGATAAATGTGCCTCCTTATTTGCATTACAATTTAAATTAAAATCAAATAACATTGCATATTTTCAGTGTTTGGTTGCTCACAAGCAACACTGAATGGTTTTTTTGAGCAAAAAGAGAAAGGGGTGATATGTGTCAGCCAACCCCAAGAGGGGGGCGATGGTTCACAAAAGGTTAGGAACCACTGGTCTAGAAGAAGAATAAAAAAATATATATGTACATTTCACAAGATTGAAAAATTTGCTTCTATTATAAACGGGGATAAGGAGGTATTAAACAGCTCGGGGGTGCGGGTGCATTCATTTTTATCCATGTAGCGATTATTTGCTTTTCTATTCTCCATATTGTTTCTCGGTCAACATGGCTTATTTTTTACTAGTACGTAATTGCTAATTGGTTATAATTTAATCTTATCTTATATATTAGAAAAAGAGAGAAAGAAAAAATTTATTGATTGAGAATTGTACCTAAATCAGGAATATATAAAAGACTTTTCTACAAAAAATACACACTTTTTATGTTAATAAAATGTAAGGTATTAATTTCTAATTGCTTACATATCTTAATTCATAGCATCGAAATATTTATTTAGTTATACAGAAGAAAATTAAATAAATGTAATATGCTTAGTTCAATTGCATTGCTTTATAAAAATAATTTCTCTGCAATATTAATATTTAAAATAAGTGTAAGACAATAGCCTAATTTCCAAGATTGAATTTGACATTCAATGCTAAGGTCCATTTTTAGTATTTATGTCTAAATAGTAAGAGCGGAAGTAGTAGAACACAGTAGTAGAGAAAAAATTACGATATTTCTAGCAAAAAAAAAAAAAAAAGCATTTTGTTAACAAAACCAAAATATATGGTATAAACCATTCATTTGATAATTTTTCTGTTCGCATTGCAACAGTTTATCGAAACTTTTGGTTTAAAAAATTAAAGCTCTTATTACCAATCATTTAATAAAAATGCAAAACTCAAAAATAAAATAATCCGAATTAGTGATTATTATGCCATGCTCTAAGGCAGCAGCTCCCAATAATTATTTAGGCTTCCCTCTATGGAATTCTAAATGATCAGTCTTCCATCGGGGGAATCCCGACATTACGATTGCAATTTATTAAGGTAGTTCTGAATGTTATAACCTAGAAAAGAGACTATTTTTAAATATATTTAATTGGAGGAATAAATATTTTTCATCGTTTTATTATTAACAATCATTATACTATTAATAAGGTTTTATATTCGACAGTTAAATTTGCAGTCCTTGTGCTATATAGTCTAATTTTGGTATTTTTAAAAGCATTTTCTTTTATAAAAGAATTAAGTTAGTTTATTTTGATTTGAAAAGTGCGGTATGAAGTACTAATGTAATATTTTATAAATGATTATTCTTTTCCAAATTAAGAAAAGGTAGGTAGTTAACATTCAACATATTGTTTTTAGAAATATATTTTCATTTAAATAATGCCATTTCTATGTAATAGGTAATTTACCATAAATAATTTTACCAAGAAAATCAAACAATTATATAAGATATAATTTATTGGTTGGATTTAAATATAATCAGAGATTATGAAAAGTACTAATTAGAAGTTATAAAAGTATTCATCCCTGGTTATAAAAAGTACTAATTCGCAAAACCTCTTTAACTCTGCCCGGAACCCTAAGAACACAGTTTGAACTCCTTTTCTAAGGAATCACGATGAAATTACCAAAATTTACCACATTTACTACCGAATAGCATAATAAAAAATTACATTTTTACTATGCAAATTTCATGAGAAGTCATGACCGAATCGCTACAGAAAAAAATTACCTTGATTTTTGGTGTTCCCATAAATACCGTAAATTTTACTATGTTCTTTTGACCATTCTCTTTTTTTTTTTCTTTTTTTTTTTGTCAGTGCGGGGTTCGCTTTTTATAAAAGGCACTGTATTGCCGCATGCAAACAGATGTGTTTTTCACAAAATTTCAGAAGGTCTTCTACTTTGGCACCTCAAATTTTTAGAAAAATATTTTTCGCAAAATTGAAGAAAAAAGAAAAAAAAAAGAAAAACATGTATCTAATAGTTTCACAAAAAGAACATATCAGGAAATTTTCAACAAAATCAAGAATGTTAAGTATTTTAAAAAACAAAATATTTTTAGTTTATTAAATTAAGAAAATTAATAAATAAAAAATACCCCGCAAGGCAGGTGTGTTTATTTGAGGCTGATGATTATGAAATCTAACGCAAAACTGAGAGATCGTGGGTTCTATTTCAACTGAGGAGAGTTCGTAATTTTTATTTCTTAATACTGAAAAATGTTTTTCTTATTTTTTTAAAAAATATGCATGTTAAAAAACTACTAATTTAACAATTATTTAAAAACTAGAAGGCTCCGTCTCTTTTTCACTTTGCTCACCAGTTACTTCTCATTAATCATTGCAGATTAAGAAGAAAAACGGTCTATTTCCTCTTTTCTTTTTCTTTTGTAAAAATAACGATTGAATTACCTTTACATTTTGAATATGACTAGATTTAGACAAATCAATAAAATTGGTAGCAATCAATAAAATTGGAAAATTGGTATCTCTCGCAGAGTTATTACTCAGTGAAGATGGTCTCAAGAGTTAGAGCATTCCCCTCCGAATGGAACCGAATTCGATGCCCAGTGATGGCTGATCGTTAAGAATTCATCTCCCGGCTCGCACTGACCACAGTGCTGACGTAAAATATCCTCAGTGGTTGACGGATAATGGATTAGAGTCCGCTTGCCGTCAGACTCACCGTGGGAGGATCTCGATGGTCTTCCTCTCTATGTAACTCAAATATGGGTTAGTTCTACCAAAACGACCTACACGAGGACGAAAATTTCTTCCAATACTTGATCCTGGAGTTCCCTTGTCTACTGGATTCGATTCAAAAGTTACAAGGCTACGGAGTTAAACATTGGTAGTCGTAAAATCACAATTGAGACGGCTGTTCAAATGCGGTTATAAAACTAATAAAACTAATAATGAAATTGTATTTTTTTGTATTCTTTCTAACTCCTTGCATATTTTTTGCTCATCTTCATAATTTTATGTTTCTAAGTCTTATAGATTTTGAGCATCAAAGCGAAATGTAACGTAAAAAAAAAAAAAAAAATAAATTGAGAAAAAAACTTGGAAAAAATCATTTAAAATTGCAAATAACTTGAATTCAGAATTTCAAAAAANAAAAAAAAAAAAAAAAAAAAAAAAAAAAAAAGAAAAAAAAAACTTTGTTAAATTTATAATGGCTCTTCCAGCATGCCAAATTGTTACTCTAAATGTGCTTATGATGATATTAAAATGTGTTTAATCTTTTTTCCTGTTTTAAAAAATGTGAGCAATAAAAGAAAGGTTCTACGTTATAGTCTCATTACAATAACATTTAACAATCAAGTAATATTATCAAATTTTTAATAATTCAATGTTAATACTCAACATTAAAAAATAATGACAGTTTACTGTAGGTGTATAGAAATATAATTAAACTTATCAGGGGCCCATCATTTTCAGTAGCTTAGGACCCCACCAAGCTTAAATCTGGCGCTGCTTATATTGTATGTTAAATTACACCATACAGTACAAAATACATCGATAACAGAAAAAAAATTAGATTTAAATTTACATTAAAAGGAATCTGCACATTAATAGTATCAATATTAGTGATTTTAGATTCTCAGAAACACGCTTGAAAAAAATGATGTGAGAAAAAAAATGTTAAGTGTAACATTCGTTTTAATTTAAATATTTTGAATTTATTTGTTTGACCCCAACCCCCTGTCGGGGAAGACTTGACCCCTTGTCGGGCAGAGTCTGGTGCCACCCTTGAATGATCTGTTTGACATTTATTACAGTATAGTTAAAAGTGATAAGCATAAAGGAGTGAAATATGACACATTTTATAGGAATGCATTCATTCTCAGTTCCAACACCTCCAAGTTTAAAGATGGAGGACTGTGATGCCACAATTGGCATACACATATTTATTTTCTATCTTTTAAAATATCTTTCATTACTTAAGCTGATTTTTTTATTAATAGAATTACATTTAATATAAATCAAAAACTTAATCTTTTTAAACGAACATAAAATATTTATTTCTTCTCTTCTGGATCAATGTAACGGATACTTTCTTTTTATTTCATTATTAAGCAGACATATTAATTCACTGTCGCCTCTAATCGAAAACAAAAATCTATTTATAACTTTTTATTCTAATTTTCCAACGGCTAAATGTTTCGGTTGCATGGTTATAATAATTCACATAAATTTGTTGGCGACTCGTGATCGCCAAGGTATTCTTTTAAACCCATATTGGTAGGCTGGTTGGCTTTGTTTTGGCTATGTAATATTTTAATAGATCGCCAATTTTGGATCTCCTACCCATGCTTCTGTGTCCATTGGGAACAATTTATAGGTACTTTTTAATTTGGCTTTTGACTAGGCATGTAGTGGGGGATTTGTCTCCCATGGCCTGTCCTAATTAATATTATTATGCAAAATTGATTCAACTGAAATTCTTATGAATGATTTTTATATTTTGTAACTCGAGCTCTACAAATACATAAAATAAAAGCCTTTTATTAATTATGATCCAGTTCAAGTATTATTTTCATCACCCTTCTGCTTTCATCGCAATCTTCAATTGGTCAATACCCTACACCCTCCTACAGCACCTGCCTATTCCATCTTAACATTATTGGCTCCCTAACTTCAAATAATACCTTC